ATGACATTTTTAAAATCTAGTTAAGGAGATTAGTCAAACCTAAACGGTTAAGTGCCAATTCCTTTCGAGGTAATTAAGCCTCCTTTTGGTAGTAATTTTCACCCAAGAAATCAATTTTTATCGTTATTTTACTATTCCAACACTCATTTTTTACTTCTTCACTTACAAATGAGATCCATTTTTCTCTTTAATGATAAAAAAATCAATTTTCATAATCATTATCGAACAGGTCCTAAATCACCGTACGACGAAGTCGAGCTGAGAGGTAGACTAGCCAATTCTCCAGACTGTCAAGCGAAAACAAAGACGTGTGTTGAATATGTTGTTGAATTCAATAATACCCGTTGATGGGTCACTAGTGATAAATAATATAACTGGAGAATGGTGTATTGTGCACATTGGAAAAAGTAAAAGTAAAAATAAACAACAATAATAATAATAATCTTGCATTCAATTCCCATCACAAACAGATTATAAGCCACCGATGCATGAAATTTGGTGAAAAAGTTTGATTCTGATTGTCTGAAAAACGTGTCAAAGTCACAATGCGACATAAGGCGTTTGCCTAAATTTCTTACATTTAATTATTACTTTGCATTGATTTTATAAATTAAAAATGTTGCAGGTTTGACAAATCCAACAATGTCACGAGGACTTGAGTGCCAATGAATGCAGAATCTTGGATAATGGCGAAGACTTTGCCCCATTTTGACGAAATAATGTATTTTTGAATAGTGTATTAGTAAAAAATATGTGATTAAAAAATAATTTTTTTTTGAATTTTGCATATAATATTATTTTATTAAAAATGTGTATTAAAATGATATTAGAACACTGTTTATATATATATATACACGTCTTTAATTTTTTTTTTTTTAGTTCCTGTGACCAAAGTGTCATCTATATTATTATTATTATTATTATTTGGATTCGGGTAAAAGATCAGAGGAATTCGTTCAATTTGAACATATTTTCATTTTTGGACTATTCTTAACGTTGACTATAGCTATAACAACTCACATTTTTTTAACAAATACTTGGGATGGCAAAGGGGCAAGTATGGAATGAGTGGATCATTACCACTCCGTCCCGTCAAATATTTTTGTTACATTACCTCATCCTCATACTCGATTAAAGTAGAATGGGGCGGGGCATGTCCTCTGACCCATTTATTTATTTATTTTTATTTATTTTATTTTTTATATATTTAATTAGTAAATATTATTACTTTTTTTTTTCAATTTGTTAAGAACAACTTATGTTCACTTTAAAAATAATGACAAATATTTTATTTTTGTTTGATAAAAAATTTAAATTTGAAATTAACTTTAAAGTGGACGGGTAGTGGGGCGGAGACTATATTTATCATACCTGCTTCGAGGAAATAAGCCAGCCCCATTCTTGTACCGTTTACACGATTATGCAGATAATTTTGGTTCCATTCGAGATGGGGCCTGCGGGCATTAGGTTAAATGGATTTTTTTACCATCCCTACAAACACCCGTACCATTAATTTATAGACCAACCCAACTTGGCCCACTCGATCGATGAAATTGAAAATCAGGTCCAAAGCTGAACAAGTTAAGCACAAAATCAATGTTTTAAAAAAACTTCCAAAAACTTGTCGATTCACGTGGTTTTGAAAATAATTGATCTGTCTGCAATTTCACCAATTTTAAATGATGAAAACTACTAAAAACCCAGCCCAAAAATGAGTGAATTGTTTCAAAAATCACTCAAATTATACCACTGTCACGGATTGCTGACTAAACTTCAACATGCTACACACTGCTCGTTGAACTTCCTCTGTTTGCACTCCATCCATCACCCAAAAAATAAAAAATAAAATTCGTTATCGTTCTTGCTGATGTGGTGGAAGGAATTCTGATGTGGCGCTTAACACCCATTAAGCACATGCCAAATCACCGTCCTTATCAGCAAAACTTAAAAAAAAAAAAAAAAAAAATTCTGCTTCTTCCATCCCGCACCCTACACCCCTCCACCACCACATCACCAAACCGAACCCAGAAAAACTAACCACAATCCGGCCACCGCCTGCAATCACCAACCTCAAAACCCAAAGCCCAAATCAAAACCAAACCACACCTTCATTTGTTCCATTTCACATCCATAATTGACAACGTAATATAGTCTACACAAACACACTAATATTCATGTATAATTTCAGAAAAGCAGGAAAAAATTGTTAACAATTTATAGAAAATTTGTGGAGGATTTCATTTAATCTGTTTCAACATGGGATTAAGCCGATCGAGGTGTAGGCTAATTCCACTGCCGACACATTTGGGTTTGCCGAATTGATGGGTCCATCTTCTTATTGCAGCTCCTCCATTAATGGCTCAAGATTGAGATCTACAAAAAGCAAATGGGTTGATTTTGGTGAAGAAGATGTTCAATTATTCATACATACACACATCATATTTGTGTTCATGTGTGAACACAGAGAAAAAATGATGGGAAATGGGTTGTTGTGATTAATGTCGACTGGTTGGTGCCTATTGTTGTTGTGGTTAATGTTGACGTGTTTGTGGTGGCTTATGTAGGTGGTGACCGGTGATGGTGGCAGTCGTGGCAAATGACAACGGGTGGTGGTTGTGGGTTAATTTGGTTTGGTCGTGGGGTGAGGTGGCGTGGGGAAGAAAGTGAGCAGTCCATTCTATTTTTACTTTTTTCCATTATTTAGTGTGATTTGGCATGTGTTTAAATACATGTTGGACCTTTTTTGGCTGACTAGGACTTCAAATGTGATCTGAAATATTTGTAACGGGTGTTAGACACGATATCAGAATTCCGTCCACCACATCAACAAGAAGGATACTGATTTTTCTTAGGTGATGGATGGAGAGCAAACAGAGAAAGTTCAGCGAGCAGTGTGTAGCATATTGAAGTTTAGTAAGGAGTTCATGACCATGGTATAAATTGAGTGATTTTTGAAACAATTCACTCCCCAAAAACCTATCTTTCGATTTTTAAATTTTATTTTTTGGTAAATTTATTTGTTTTATTATTAGAAAAAATCAATGGGTGGATCTGGCTCGACCTTTCACTCATTTTTCTTTTTCAAGTTGATGGGACCTAGGTAGTAGTTCCCAGATGTTGAAAATAGGGGTGAAAGCGATTCGATTTGGACGGTTTGTACTATATTTTCAACTCAAACCATTTTTAACGGTTTGAAATTTTTTCAAATCAAATCAAACCATTTTATTTTTCAAACCAAATCAAACCAAACCATAATTTGCGGTTTGGTTCGGTTTTAATCTGCGATTTGTCTTTCGACATTATAATAATGTATTGAACTTAGTTAAATATAAGTGTAAACGAGAACTAATAATGTTAAATGTTAAATTACATTCATATTTACTACGGAACACATGAATAAATTATTTTTAAAATTAATTGCTAAGAGATGTTAATAGAAGAAATACATATTTCTTCATTTTTATTTACCCTTTTTTGTGTTTGATATTTATATTGTTATATAGCGGGTGGTAAATGTAGAGTTGCATTCTATTATTATAGTTTAGTTAAAACTCCTTTTCGTTTTGCTAGCGAGATGTAAAGTAAAATGTAGTAGTACTAGTTAGGGAACTTTAACATTTTTCACACAATCAATACGCTTCGTCATTCGTTCTTTTCAAATAAAAAATAAGTTCATTAATCATCTAGGCACACAAACAATCATTTTCTATTTAAACCACAACTTACAAGTGTATAATAAGTTCAAAAAAATAAAAGAAAGAACAATGGAAAATGGCCTGAATAAAAATCTAAGACTTATTAAAAGAGAAGAGAGAAAGAGGCGATTCAGGTAGATATTAGTAGACTAAAGGTGACTGGTAATTTATTCAGCGATGGTAGATAAGCGTCAAATGTTAGGGAAATGAGAGTTTATGTTAGGGTTTCTGAAACTTTGAACGTGATTTACTAATGTAGTTTTGTTAAATTATGATTTGGATTGTTAAAATATATGTTTTTTTTTTCCATTTCATATGATTTTGGAATAATTTTGGTTTATTTTAGATATCAGGCGAGGACATGTATTTTGAACCTATTAAATTATATATCAATAATGATGAATCTAATTTACTTTCTATGATTATTTCAATAGGCTAGTTATAATTTGTATTGTTAAATTGGTATTTTTTTTTTTTTGAAAAGTGAAAACTATAAAATTTTTAAAATAATAAAATTAATTTTTTAATTAAAAAATTTAAAAACGGTTCGGTTTGGTTTTGTGCGATTTTTGAAAATCAAAACCTAAACCAAACCATTTTAAAACGGTTTGGTTCGGTTTGAGGAAAAAGAAACCACGGGTCCACGTGGACCCGAACCAACGGTTTCAACTCAATGATTTCGGTTCTATTTGCGATTTCACGATTTTTTTTGTGCAGCCCTAGTTGAAAACGCCCTTATATTGGGGCAAGAATGGGAGGTTAGGGGAAAATAATGTTGAACACTTTTCGATTTTATCCAAAATGTAGGTTAAATATGGGAGATTGAGAGCGACCCACAATCCCAACAAGAATTCGATACCAAGGCAACTCTCATTCCCCATTCTAGTTCGTTAAACTTTTAATTTTTTATTTTCTTCTCATTTTTTTTTATCATGTACTATAGAACTACTAGATTTCGTCTCATAATATTTGTAGTGTACGAGCTAGACACTGTTATTTATTTTCTCGTACATATTGAACCCTTGCTTGATGGTCATTATTTGATCAAAATAATGTTTTTAATATTATTTTTTAGAAAAATATGTGATTAAAAAGTAAAGAAAAATTTTGAAAGTACGTATAAAATATTTTATTATATAAATTTGTGGTAAAAAATGATTACGTAGAAAAAACAATTTTAAAATAAGGGCATCGAGGGGCAGAATTTAATATGACACGTCGGATAAAATAGAACATAATGATAGAGTAATCATTGGTACTTTAGAAAGTCCATTTATCACATGACCCACCACCTAAATGTCATGCCATAGTCGCCTCTTAATTACCGCTGCTCAAATCTCCAAGCAAAAATAATTACTTATCACATTCTACTCCGCTTTAATCGCTAATTCCAATCTAGTAATTTTCTAATTATTAACAAAAATAAGTAATTTTCAATGATTATTTTCTCCACATCTTGATTGAAAAACCCTAGTTCCTGCATTCACTGTTTCATGTCAAATTTTTGCAATTTTCTGGATTTTTTCGAAGAAAATGATGGAATTGGTTGGTTGATTAAGCCAATCGTGTAAACAAATTGATGAGGGGATTTCGTAGAAGTCCGAGGATTTTTATCCTCGGTTTGCTTGTTGTGTCTGTGTTCGTTCCGATATTTTTACTGTCTCACAGGTTGAAACATATTGGCTTTGATTGTAAGTTTTATTTCTGATGTTCGTGATTTGATTTTTAGTTTTTATCATTGATTTGAATCTGATTGTGTTTCTTTTTTTGGTGCAGCCTCGAAGGGATTTGTTGAAGATTTATCGATCATTGTATAATTTCTTTCTTCAGGATTATTTACATTACTGAGTTTGTTAATTACTTTACATGGAAAATAAATTTAGACTTCTTTGTTGTGCTATAGTGCTATCTAAGGATTTGGTGTTCTCTTTTCTCTTTAATCTTCTTCCTGTTTGTAATCAGAGTTTGTTTTTTAAAAAAAATTTTACTAGAATTTTTTTTTGCATTTTAAGATCTATGTAACGAACAACTTGAAGTGTCTGTGTAAATATATCTGTGTATATATTTACATACGTGTCAATTCGATAGAGCATTCATTTTCTTTCAAATTTGTATTTTTGCCTTTTGTATATTATTACATGGCAATGAAAATATTGTTGAAGCTGGGGCCTTTCTCTTGTACAGAAAAACAGAAAAGAGGCTCAAACACTTAGAGCAATGGAGCAGGTAATTAAATAGTTTGATCATATCTCCGAAAAGATGCTATATTGTCATTCCATTTCGATTCTTATGTTTGTAGAATTGTGAAATGTCTGATTAGGATGAAGGTGAAGGTTTGAAAGAACCAATCCGGGTGGTTTACAAAGATGAAGGCTTCAAATCTGCAGTTAGTATTAGTTCTAGGGAGGACAATAGATTTGGTGAATTTGGAAATACAGCATATGATGTTAAGTTGTCGGCAAAAAATGGTGGATACAATTTGCATAAGTTTTATTTCAAGACTGCATTTTACTCCTTTACTTATTTAATTTTTTATTCTCTCTGTCTCTAATGGTTTTGGCTCTTGCTTCAAGTTCAGCAACTAATGATGAAGCAAGGGAAGATGACGGAAGTAGTCTGCAGGATGAAAAGTTGCAGATATCTGGGGAAAAGGTATGATGTTTCTGTGGATCTAAGTTGGAAGATATACTTGAAATTTTCTGTTTGGAAAGAAGTAGAAATATTTTTTATAATTACTTGTGCCAGAGTCCTCTGATCTACATTTGTTTCCAGTCTTGTTTTATTCTTTTTTTACTCAATGGAACTTCTGGACTTCTCCGCTTCTTGGTTAGTGCTCCAATATAGAGTAACTGTTGGATTTTACGTGTAATAATAAAGAGATGAAATAGAGAAATTAGCACAAGAATTTACGTGTTCGACAGTGTGCCTACGGCCACGAGAGCGAAGCGGAGATAATTTTTATTCAGTAGTGAAAAATAGGATTACAATATATTATTTATACTAACCCTAGTCTGAGCCCATATAAGTCTTATGGTCAATCATTCCAATTTTTCACAATGAGACAGCATCACCTTCATTTTTTTATTTTTTATTTTTTTTCCTGAATTAGAGGGTAAAGCTGTCTTTTCATGTATTTAACAATTTATTTGGACGAAAAAATCAATAAGAACGAAAAGGCTGATGCCAAGGCCTATACAAGAAAATATCCATGTATTGGCCTCTTTGATCCCGATGAAATTGTGTTTCACTCTATACGAGGCATGTACACAATAGTAACCATATCGAGAAGTATGCGCAATGTTCCCTATATCTATATTCAATAATGATGCTGAAGTTATTCTTCATTTTATAGATAAGCTTAACTCTATTATTGTTTTGTTATCAACTGCTATTTAGTTGATTGATTGTGCTTGGAAAGTCAAGCAATTTGTCTGTCAATTGCATTTGTAGATTTCCCTTTCATTTATCTCCTCCTCTCCCCTTCTGCTGCTCACTTCTTTAGCTTTCTTCCTCCGTCCAACTTCTTTATTTCGGGTTCCATGGCAGGAAGACTTACACGCAAACATGGTTCGACATGATCAAACCGTAAAGTCTCTGTCACGGAAGGCATTAGATGAGAAGGTGAAAGAAATGAAAGACCAAGTGGTGAGGGCAAAAGCTTACTTAAATTTCTCACCAGCAGGTAGCAGCTCTCATTTAGTAAAAGAGTTGAAGCTAAGAATAAAAGAGGTTGAAAGAGCTATGACCCAATCCACCAGAGATTCACATGTGTCTAAGGGGTAAAACTTCTCTTTTCCTCCGAATAGTCCGTATTTACTGCATTTCTTTTATATGTTCTCTGTTGGAACTTGAAAATGAATTATAATAGAACGTCACAGGGAATGTGTAGAGAGAAGATAAATTGAGATTGATTGAAGATCAAAATTTTCTAACTTAGAATGTGCAGTGAATACAACATTCATTTATAGCAATGGTAGATATAATCCATGAACAAAATTTTACTCGTGCGACTACATAGGTTTTGACTGAAGTATTATTTCATTTACTAAATTTTCAGTAATTTCACGTCATTTATCATGGGATGTTGAGGATCAAGTTACCTAGTGCATTCTAAAATTTACTTTATTGTTAAAACTAAATTTTCCGGTATATTTCTTTTCATCTTTCTTCCTTTTGTACGTATGTCTTTCTCCTAGTAATTCTTGGCTATAATTGTTACCTGTCATCTGGGGTGCAAGTTGCTTGCTTGTTTTTCCTGAAGGCAGTTGAACCGGCCTATTATAGTTACTAGTAATCAATACACATTATACAAGTCCAAAAATCAATTCTGTTCCATAATAATGTAGTGATGGATCAAATATAGTGGCCAAAAGGATTCCGAGACTCCAAATTTATTAGGAATAATGTTGAATTTATTATGGTTTTCTTATAAAGTCAGCGTAATTCTCAATTTTAAATTAGAGTGGCACTATCAACTTATTCTTTAGATTTCAATAAAATTGCATATGAAATATAAACCGGTGAAAATTTCAGTTCTCTGCAGAAAATGAAAGCTATGGAGTCCACCTTGTTAAAAGCCAATCGTATTTACCCTGACTGCTCTGCCATGGTGAAAAAACTTCGAGCAATGACTTATAACGCTGAAGAGCAGATCCGAACGCAGAAGAAACAAGAAGCTTTTCTTAAAGAACTTGGTGGAAGAACTATACCAAAAGGCTTTCACTGCCTCTCTATGAGATTGACTGCTGAATATTTCGCCGTAGAGACTGAGAAGCGGGAATTCTCTAACAGACACAAAATAAATGATCCAGATCTTCATCACTTTGCTGTTTTCTCTGACAACATTTTAGCTTCTTCAGTTGTTGTGAACTCAACCATATCAACTGCTAGGGTAAGTTACCATGCTCTTCCCCAGTTAACAACTTTGTTTAGTTTTAATACGTGATTCAAAAAAGGATTACATGGTACCAGAGAGAGAGTAAAGATCGTGGGATGGATTAACATTTTTTAAATGCATTCTATTATGAACCTTTTTGTTCTGACAACTCAGTTTTGCTGCCGACAGGACAGCCAAAATTGTCATCCCTTGTGGTTTCAATTATTAATTTTGAACTAATGATCCTTTAAAATCTTCATTTCCTGATATATTCACATGCTTTAAAAGAGCAAAGAGGACTTAATTTTATCTGAAAAGCATCTCCCATCATTGTAGAAACAATCTCACATTAGTACGTTGTAGGGGAAAAAGGAGACTCAGCTGCAACTGCAGTGTGATAGTTTGTGCTTCAACCATTTTGAGAGGATGAGAATGCTACTTTTGCTGATTTTGGGAATTTAGCTTCAGAGTTTCTAAAGGATTAGCACTTTTTGCATAATCTGTACATTCATTAATGTCATTTGTAATGAAGTCCTCTCCTGAGAATAAAAGAAAAAAAAAAAAAGGATAGGAAGTGAGAAATCTTACCGATCCTTTTTCCATGTCTGGCTAACCCGTGTCACGCTATATAACTGATGGGAAAGTGCATTTTCTTCTTAAAAGGAATTAAATTACGAATTTAATTGTTCTTGTAATTGAATATTGGGATTAAGCATATTCCATAAATCTATTGTGCATGTTCTTTAGGAGGAAGGAAAGATGGTTCGGAACGGGACATTTGTAGATGATTGAGACCTGTGTTTATTTTTTGGAGAAAGGAATTTTTAATGATGTGCTCTTAATTATACAGACTGGTAATAAATTTTCTTTACTTGACAGCATCCGGAGAGAATAGTATTTCATATAGTAACAGATTCTCTCAACCTTCCAGCAATGTCAATGTGGTTCTTACTGAATCCTCCTGGAAAAGCTACAATCCATATTGAAAGCATAGACAATTTTGGACGGTTGTCTATTAGATATAATGCAACTCAGAAAGAAGGCTCTGTTGATCCAAGATATACATCTGCACTCAACCATCTTCGTTTTTATTTGCCCGATGTTTTTCCCCTTCTGAATAAGATTGTGCTTCTTGACCATGATGTGGTAGTGCAAAGGGATCTGGCACGACTTTGGAGCATTGACATGAAAGGCAAAGTCAATGGTGCTGTCGAGACTTGCAATGTAGGCGAGCCTTCATTCCGTCGTATGGACATGTTTGTCAATTTCACAGACCCCATGGTAGCAGAGAATTTTGATGCCACAACATGCACATGGGCCTTTGGGATGAATGTGTTTGATCTTCAAGCGTGGAGGAAACATGATTTAACTGGGCTCTATCATAGGTACCTGCATTTGGTAAGGAATTGCATCCGTAACTCATTTTTATTGCATTTAGGTTGTGCATGTGGTAAAGTATCTAATACTTCTATGCCTATTTCATGTTACCTAGGAAATATTTGACTTCAGATTTCGAAAGTATACGGTTTCTATTCTTTCTTGTCCTTACGGAGCATTTTTATTGAAACAAATTTCTATGTTGGGGGATTCTTATGCATGCCTTTGTATTGACATATCTTGCAGTAGCTTTTATTAAAGGATCATGCTGATTTATTACATTGTTTCAAGTAAACGTCGTAGTACAATATGAATAATATGAATTAATTGGAGCCCGTCAAAATTCGGTAATGGAAAATGTTGTTTTTATAGAGTCCAACTATTTCCGCCAAATTAACCCAATGCCACCGGTTAAAATGTACATTTGTTTTCATTATTCACTTTTACATGTTAGTGTTAGTTATGGCTGTCCATGTTTATCGACCTTAATTAGATTCAACTGACGTGATTAACCCGGGTTTGCATATATCTTTAGACTTTATGCTTATTTTTCTATGGATTATGCAGGGAAACACAAGGCCATTGTGGAAAGCCGGTAGCTTGCCCATCAGTTGGATCACTTTCTACAAACATACGGTACCTTTAGATAAGAGATGGCACGCCCTTGGGTTGGGTTATGACTCGGGAGCGAGTCCAGACAACATAGAGAAGGCAGCAGTGCTACATTACGATGGAATCTTGAAACCATGGTTGGATATCGGGCTTGAGAAGTACAAGCACTATTGGAGGAAACATGTCAAGTTCGATCACCCGTTCATGCAACAGTGCAATATCCACGAATAGTTAGATCCTCACACAAGAAGTTTCGACTCTGACATAGGTTCCTCACATGTTCAATTGATTCTTTCTCATTCTTCCACATTTTTAGTTGTAAGTTTCGACTCTATATTTCATTTTTCCTTTGCCAATCCGGCCATAAGCGTTTAGAAGCCGAGTCCACATCTGCAATAATAGAGGCCAAGAATCGGCAAGTCTAGTCTGACAGTCCAATACCAGGACAATTTGTAAATAATAGTTATTCTTTGAAGCGCTAATGTCAAATGCATGTCTTCCAATTTTCGATCCAGCAGATTTTATTGTGCAGCATAACAAACAATAATATGTTTGAAGAAGGCATTGTGCTGGCTGCCTATCAGGAGAGCCATGCCTGACAAAAACCAGCCTCTCCAGATGGGCCCACCCATGGCCCAGTCCAGTCCAGTCCAGTCCAGCCCATTTTGTACCGGGCATATCAAGGGCCGGGCTGTGCCAGCGCACATTTAGAGCCCAAGATGACCTAGCCCATCTTTACACATATCATGAAACGTGTTTACGTTTCTTCGTATTTTTTCCCCTTAATCTGAATAACTTTTTCAAATCTCTTAGGACCCGTCAGGAATCAAATAGTGGTTGTTAAGAGATAAAATTACACGTGTCAAAACCTGGTTGGATGATGGGTCTATCTATTTATCCAAGTCATGTGGTTTCCTTGTACTCACGCTGATCCACTAATATCAATTTGTCTCTTCCTTTCCTCAAAACAAACTAATACTGCTCGAGGTGGGACTGAGAGCTGATCAGTTCATTCAATTCCCAGTTGAGTAAAATGGCCACCATTTCTGCTTGCACTGCAACCTCGTCTCTTGCACGCACAGCCCTCGTTCAAAAGGCATCCGTCGCAAGGCATTCATCCGTTCTTGGTACGAATTCTATTCACAGTCTTATCATACAGTCCAACAAACGAGATTTTAACTTTTATTTCTTTTGAGTCGTTCTTAGCACTTTCCAATCTAATATACTGAGCACACCATACGACTAGTTTGTTTAAGGTGGACGATATAGACTTAATTAAACCTTCTTAAATACTATGTACCATACAAGATGGTCATGTTTCATCGATGATGTGGTTAAACATTGAACCCTTTATTCCATTAGTCAATTTGTACAGAATATGATGTTTTCTTGTATCATCATTTTAAAATTGACCGCAGGGTTGCCATCAATGGCAAAGGTGGGAAAAGTAAGATGCTCCATGGAGGAAAAGCCCCAAGAGAGTGACTCAAAGTTAGGCATGGGAGCATCTTTGATGGCTGCCGCCACCTTCGCTGCCACCATCTCCGGCCCGGCCATGGCTCTGGTGGATGAGAGAATGTCCACAGAGGGAACTGGGCTCCCTTTTGGCTTGAGCAATAATCTCCTTGGCTGGATCCTTTTGGGTGTGTTTGCTCTGATTTGGTCTCTCTATACTATCTATACTTCCAGTCTTGAAGAGGATGAAGAATCTGGTCTCTCCCTTTGAGCATGAAGTTTTATAGTATTTTGTGTAATACTAAGTTGATTCTTGTCTGAACCTTTGAACTGCTGCTTTATTGTGCTTTTTATGGTTCCCCCTAATTGTAATTAGGGTCATCTTATGCTACAGTAAAGGGTGTTTTTATTTAGATTATTTGATGATCGTATGTCGAATGATCGTGCGTCGAATGTGTTCATTAGATATGCATACCGTTGGTTTAGATGCTAATATGAGCACCGTGCATGACATTTTCTACTAGGAGCACTTTCTTTCTATCGCAATATACAAAATTAATATATGGAGCAAGACTCAAAACATTCAAGAACATCGAGTGAATTTTCTCTTTCATAATTGGTCGACGAAAAGGCCAAAGTTACATGTAAAATGAAGTGATCTAATGAGCAATAGCCACATTACTTGACTTCTTAGGGCTATTTCTCCTTGGTCATCTTTTATTTTTTAACACTGTTACGGTCATCTCCAAGTTAAAATAAGACTATTGTAGAATATTGTTATACGAAACTAGATTATGTACAGAGTTTATCATATAAAATTTGTGCAAAAAGGGTATTCCTAGAGCATTTACATGTCTAAAATTGTAAATATCTTCCATTTGCTTGGTTGGGTTTTGTAATACTCGTACAACAACAAAAATATCAAGCCAATAAGTTCTGAAAAATAAAAAATTACCAAGCCCATAATGCCATTTTAAGCTATATATATATATATATGATAGAGATAAGCTTGACCAAGTATTATCATGTAGCAAAAGAAATAAGAACCCATTATTTTTTATTAGTATAGTATTTTTATTTTTTAGAAATGGATGGTTGTAAAATAATGAAAATTTTTCAATTTACGTGTATTATTTTATTGAAAATTGTGTTATTGAAAATAGGAGATAGAGAAATTTAATTTGATAAGATTTAATGGGGCAAACGAGGGCTTAGCTAACTTAGGCCAACTTTCTTTAAAAACTCTTCTCGCCTGATGAGTTACTTTTAAGTTATCATATATGTTTAGAAACAACTTAATTTCAAAGGTAATTTTTAATTTTTCAAAAATTCTGTCAAACGACCCTAAGAGCACTTGTGCTAATAATTGGTGGTGGATATGCAAACTTGGAAGATCCGAAGAGCATCAATTAAAGTTTTATTTTGACCTAAAACTTATTTGCACACGATAACGTTAACTTTTATTTACTCCTTTCGTCCCATTTATATAGAATTAGTTTCTTTTTTTCTTGTCTCAAATATATAGTCTTATTTCTTAATTTAGAATATTTTTTCTTTACTAATATACACTTATTTAATTTGCCTAATTACAATCGATTTTTCCCACTTAATTTGCTTACTTCTTGAAATCATCCAAATACATGTACATTTCCCAATAATTTGCCTACTTTTTGCAATCATTTTTCAATTTCTTTGTTATTCCAACAATAATTTATTACCAGTTGTGAAAAATTAAATAGGGATAAACTACGAAATTTCTTTATAAAAAATATTTTTTCAATAACATTAAATAACAATCACTCTTTCCCAATTATATAGACTTGTTTCATTTTTCACGCGGATTAAGAAATATTCTTTAATGTCATTGAAAAATTAAATTTTGTCAAGATATTTCCTAGTTTACCCCTATTTGATTTTCAGTATGTAATAGTAAATTATTGTTGGAATTAGTAAAGAATTTGAATTATTTAATTTGAAGAAGAAAAAATGAGAGTTGTTTCATGTTTCCGAGAAGTGGGATTGTGTGTATTTGGATGATTTTAAAAAGTTAACATATTAAGTGGTGAAATTTGAATAATGATATATTTGTAAAGGAACAAAACAAAACATTCTTAATTTGGAAATAAACTTATATATTTGGAACAAGAGAAAAATGAAACTCAACCTATATAATTGGAATGGAGGGGTATTTCTTAATTCATGTGAAAAATAAAATAAGCCTATATAAATGGGACAAAGAGAGTATAATATATTAAAATATCACATCAAGAAAAATCATTTTTCGAACGATTTTAATCCTCCTACAATTCAATTATTTCAATAATATCTTATTTTTCATTGTTCAATATGTAATAAATACTGCGTAATTATTGTCATTTATAAAACTTGTATTATTAATTCTCAATTAATTAACATTCACATTAACCTAGATTAAATGAATTTTCACTTGATGAATCTTGAATTACATGAATATCTAGTTATTATAGATAAATTTATTCGTATTCATCTATTTAAAAATCTTAATGAGTGTTTAAATTTATGTATTAAAAATTAATTTTTACGTATCAAATGTAATATAAAAAAATTATTCATTTATAGTATTTCGTCATTATAAAAAATTTGAAACATAAAAATTGAGTTTTAAAAATACAATTTTCTTCTCTTTAATTTCTATGTTACATTTTATTTTCTTTAATTCATTCAATACTCATCAAATCCTTCAACAAATTAGTATCAAATATTAGTTTTATATCATTCTAAAATAAGGTACAATACTCGATCGACTTTGATAAGTTCTCTTTAAAAGAAATCTTGTGTTATTAATGGAAGTATGTATAGGATAGGCTGCGTTTTGGCGAACAGGAAGACGGAGCGAAAAAGCTCGAGTAACGTTCAATTCAATGGCGACATATGTGAGCACTCCCAAGCTATCTTCTCCAACTCTGCAAACCCTCTGCAACTACAAATTCCCAATATCTTCATTTACATTATCTCACCGTAATAAATTGCCAATCTTCGGAAACTTCACTTCTTTCTCTCCAAATCCGGGACGCATTTGCAGCCGCCGATTTAACGCTGCAGTTCGGGCCGAGTCCACCAACGGCTCCGAGCCGGCTCGTAACTACGACTTCGACCTATTTACGATCGGCGCCGGTAGTGGGGGTGTCAGGGCTTCACGGTTCGCCGCCAATTATGGTGCTTCTGTTGCTGTTTGCGAGCTTCCTTTGGCTACCATTTCGTCTGACACTACCGGAGGCGTTGGTGGCACGTTGGTTACTTTCCCTTTTGTTAAAAGATAACTTCCCTCTGTCTTATCTGTATGAATTCATTTTAATAATATTAGAACATGTATGTGTGTGCTAATTCAAGTGATTGATTGTAGTTTGCTTTATTTCATTGAAATTTGACATAGGTAAGGAGATTTACGTGTACTAGAATTACCTGTGGATATGAATTTAGGACCAAATTTTCTTCTTTTGAGTTTTGAACATGGGTATTGGTCAAAACTCGTAAGTAGTCAAACTTGCTAAGCATAATGGAATATTAGCAGCCTGAATATTGGTTAGGATAATTCCAGCGTAGTTTAATTAACTAGAGTTTTGGGTTGCGGAAAAGTGATTTTTCCTCGTGTTTATGGCAAAATGGTTTTGAATTATACTCTTTTTTTACATTTCAGTTTTCTGTATCTGCAGAGGTAAAATAAGTTTTGATTTTTTTACATGCTTCATTAAAATATCTACGGCCAATTACTTTTTGTTCTGTTACTACAGTTAGAATTAAGTGTATGGAATTTAATGAAAGAGTCTACCAAAGCCAAATAGCGAGGAAGGAGATGTCTTGTCCAAGAAGTGTTATAGCGCATACATGGATAGAGTGTGGAGTTTCAAGAATCTTAATAACGATCTAATAAAATCTGATGTATTCTGTGAAGGTGTGTACTTCGTGGATGTGTGCCCAAGAAGCTCCTTGTATATGCATCCAAATATTCTCATGAATTTGAGGATAGTCATGGTTTTGGATGGAATTATGGAGCAGATCCTAAACATGATTGGAGCACTCTGATTGCTAATAAGAATGCTGAATTGCAGGGCCTCACTGGTGTTATCAAGAACATTCTGAAAAATGCTGGTGTAACGCTAATTGAAGGGCATGGAAAGGTTGGATAATATTCTCTATAAGGATTCTCATCTTTATTTTTTTCCAGAAGCCATAGATTTATACTGCAATAAATTAGTGATTGTTTGTATGGATCTCCAAACTTTATATGCAGATTGTGGACGGGCACACAGTTGATGTGGATGGGAAACGCTACTCAGCAAAGAACATTCTTATTTCAGTTGGTGGACGCCCATATATTCCTGGAAGTGAATATGCAATAGATTCTGATGCTGCCCTTGATTTACCTTCAAAACCTAAGAAAATTGCAATAGTTGGAGGTGGATACATTGCAGTTGAGTCGCTGGCATATTCAATGGCTTGACAAGTGAGGTCCATGTATTCATAAGGCAGAAGAAAGTGTTAAGGGGCTTTGATGAAGAGGTAGCAACCGATAAAAAACTCCATCTAACAAAAATAATGCCCTTGTTAAAGTTTACATTGTAGATTAAGAAATTTAACTCTCATTATTCAGGTCAGGGACTTTGTTGGAGAACAGATGTCATTGAGGGGCATTGAGTTTCACACAGAAGAGTTGCCTCAGGCTATTCTCAAATCATCAGATGGTTCGCTATCTTTGAAAACTAACAAGGGAACAGTTGACGGCTTTTCTCATGTCATGTTCGCAACAGGACGTACACCAAATAAAAGGTGAAGATATTCTTTCATTCTTTGTGTTGTCAGCTCATATATTGTAGGCTCTAAGATAGCGAAGATACCACTTTGGACACTACCATACTGCATTAGTTTTTCCTTTTAGATGGAACAGCTGTAAGTTGCCTGCTCATGTTCTATTTCATAACATTTTTCAATGTTGATGAATTTGTTATCTGTGACAGAATTTAGGTTTGGAGACGGTGGGAGTTAAATTATCGAAAAATGGAGTTATAGAGGTATCTTTTTATGCCCCGCCCCCCCGGGAGCGCGCACACACACACACACGAGATAATAGGTGGGCTTATGATCACATTTCAGAACATATCACTGTTTAGTTTATGTTCAGCTGTAATTATCTCTCAGGTTGATGAATACTCTCAAACTTCTGTTCCATCAATTTGGGCAGTCGGAGATGTTACTGATGGAATAAATTTGACCCCAGTTAAAAGGTTGAACCCCAACCTTAAGGGTCCCCCACCGCCCCTACCCTGGAGCATCGTGAGAGAGGTAAATCGCAGGTTATGCCTCCAAGGGTACAGGGTGGAAGGCTGCTTGTACACTTGCACTTACCCAAGAGCCAAATTCATATTTCAGGATTCGAACCCTTGACGCAGCAGCCTCAAGCAAAGTTGGATTTCTCCACCTTTCCCTTTTACCACTTGGAGATGTGTCCTGAGGGCAAATTTGACCCCAGTTGCTTTGATGGAAGGAT